AGAATTATTCTTAGTACGAGAAATGCAATTATAATATATATCTTGTTTATAATATAAAACAAAAACACCAAAAATTAAATTAAATTTGTCGTCAAAGTTATAACTTAATTGAAGCACTTTCTCCATTCTCCAAATAAATACCATAAATACTATTGTACAGAATGAAACATCTCATTTTCCTCAATTAAAAATTTATTGCTATTATTGTAAAACGCGTTTGTATTCTGCTGACATGGATACAAATAATATTTTAATTATCCGAAGTTGCAGAATATAGCGCGACACAAGTACAGGGTTAATTATTTTGTTTAAATGTACCATATTTGTTTTCAACCAGTAATTTATCGTCTGCAATATTAACTTGTAACTACGCCTAAAAGCACATAAATGTCCACCCTCTGTAGACAATTTGCCATATAATAATTTTAACACAATAGACTTAATAAAGGTTACAATTTATATTGATTTTATCAACAAACGTTTATTTGTTATCAACACGTGTGATACAGCGACCATATTTCATTTGACAAAATGTATAATGCGACAATAAATATTAAAGCCGAATCTCGTAGATCTATATTACTGTGAATAACTGTGAATGAATAAAGAAGGAAGAGTCAGTATTTTCAAATTTTTAAAGAAATTCTGGCAGTGAGTTCTACTGTTCAGTCCCAATAAATATCGAACTGCTCTCTTTTGAAGTCTGAAAACACGATCAAATTTTGTTGCGCAGCAAGTACCCCAGAATGGAAGGGTATAACGAAGAGGGCATAATAGGCTATTCTAGAGGTTGAGAAGTTAAGTTCCTTAGAAACTGATCTTAGCGCAAAACAGGCAGCGCTTAGTTTCTTTGATAGAGCTTCGATGTGAAAGTCCCATTTTAACGAGTTGTCTACAACAAGTCCTAAGAACTTCACATAGTCCACGACGTCAATAGTGGTGTTATTAAGTACAAAAGGTTGTATAGTACTTTTATATGACAAAACTTTAGTTTTTGATAGGTTGAGGCATAGGCCTATGATCAGGCCGATAGTCACCTCGAAGAATCTATTCTGAGAAAAACTGTAAAAGTTATCTTACTATTCGCTGTAAAAGTCTTGACTAGATGTTAAATTACGACATACATTTACTAGCATTATTAATTTTATTTTCTTAAACTTATTTCTTGTGTATAAACTAAAAAGAGAAGAATGAATTCTTTTCCCTTAAGACTTATTTAAAAGCAGATCCATATATATTTTAAAGCCTTTCAGAACATCGTGCGACAGATATAAACTAGCAAAAACATCTTTCAGCATATTGTGTCATTGAATAAAGATCGAGATGATAGATGTAGTACAGAAATATTTTAGTTTTATTTGCATAATATAGCGTTTTAGACGAGTTAGGAAATTCCTTTTACATTTGTGCATTTTCAAGTAAAATTTAAGAAATCTACACACATTTTAAGAATAAAAATGAGCGTATATTTCGGCTTCCCAAATGTATGCAGATAAATAGCTTGGAATACTAGAGAAATACTTGCCACGCAAATGGTATAAAAGTGAACGAGCAAAAAAAAGTATTTAATGTTTATGATTTTAGTGTGCTAAGCTGTTAAGCTCCAAGTAAGAATTGCAACATATTTACAACTCGGAGTTTAGAACAAAGGTAATTTTAAGCTCTCGCTGTTGCAACTTGGAGCCAAATCGCCCTATAGCGGATAAAAGTTAAGGTTTGGCAATGTCGTTTATTTGCATTTCAGATTTTTATCATCACAGCTAAATTATCCGAATTGCGTTTTTTACATAATCTAATGTAATCGCAGTTTTAACGTTTTTATTCATCTTAAAAATATAATAAATATTAATTTAAAAAAATAATTCACACTAATCGTACAAATGCGATTGTCACCAAGTCATAATCATATTAGAATATCAAAATAAATTGTTAATATATCGATATTATATTATAAAAACCAACCAAACCGATATTATAATAATATATATTATAATATTAATAGGATGTAAAAATATCCGTCCGTATGCAGTTTTAAGTTATATTAAGTTAGCGCACCAATATTACTTCTTGAATAATAGATAAAGTACGACAAAAAAATCCATTTTTAAATATGCTATTACTCTTAGTAAATTATACTTGAATAGAAGTTAGGGAACTAAAAGTGTGTAATTTTATTTACCATCTGTTCGTACACATCTTAATATATAATGAACACTGTACTTAATTAGAGTTATTTGTTGAATAATTGAATACAAGTATATGCATCTTTAAAATAAAATACAATAATTAATGAATAACCCCTAAATGAGTCGGGCAAATGTATAATTCAGTTTGCTATGTATCTGATCCTTAATCCTATCTGATGATTAAATATATAATGAAAATTGACTAGTTAAGTGAATAATTCATTGCATAGTCGATAGAGTCAATTTTTACTACTAAATATATACCAATCTAACACAGTCTAACTTAAACCTAATATTTTTGTAGCTAACTATATAAATAATGATATTCTATCATTATTTAGATAGTTAAAACAGGTGTATTTTATAGTATATATTCACACTGCTGTCTTTCAAAACTTTCCTGAATACTAAGTTGAACAATAGAGGTTATAATGGGTGTCTCTGACGTAGTCTTTTATCGACTTCAGAAGTTTTCAATATCCTGCTTTCCACGGATATCTAACAATATATGTTTTCCAGAGTTATTCTCACTAGCATTGTTCCCCCTTTTTTTTGGTATTCAAATAAGAAGATAGATTTATTTAGTTTTTCTTTTGTGTGGCAAAAAATATGAAATATTCATTTTATATAAACGATCAGCTTCTGTTTTATTCAGTTTTCACAAGCAAAAAAACGTACTTAATTGTATTATTTTAGTGCATATTTTATTTAAGTAACTATATAATAACATCAGAATATATAGATTATGGCTAGGTTGTATACTCTGCTTCTTACAAATCAACCCTACAGCTCCTGGACCGCGTTTAAAATGCACGTTTAAGGCAAGCTCTTGGAGGTTTTTACACAAGCTCCGCAACTAGTCTATGTGCTGAAGTGGGAATCAATCCTCTTAAATACAGAAGGAGGAAGTTAGCGCAATCCTACCTCACTTCGGCATTGGCAAATCCTAGCCATATAGTGAGAGAAACAATGCTATCCCGTCATATGGAAGAACATCTGCCTATGATAGTCAATGAAATACTTTATGAAAATCCTCCCTGACTAATACCTGAAACTGGAATAATATTAGACCTGAATAAACTCAAACGTCAAGATAGGTCACCTGAAATATAGATACCAATGACAGTTCCAGAAAATACTAGATCAGTACAATGAAAAACTGGAATTGGAAATGCCTAGGAAAAAAACATGAGAATAAAATTTTGGAAAAAAAGATATTGAATATATGTTCCCTATTTCTTTTTTGTTTTTAATTGTGCATATGAAACATAAAAAATTAATAAGTCCTCCAAATAAAATATAAAATATTAAGCTAATCTTATTTAATAAATGAAATGAAAAATATTTTATTTAAATCCATATGAGTTATTTCGTTTGGTTTTTGCTTCAACAAAAACAGTTAAAATCAAAGAATTCCACTGAATCCCCAATATTAGTGAAAACACTCTACTCCATTTTATTGCTCTTTTATTGTATTTGAAATACATTATTTTTTGTAGTTATAATTTATTTTTTTTGCTTTGTTTATTTAAACTCATAGATATAATATAACGTTTAAAATATTTTTTTGTGGTTGAATATTTGTTGAAGGCTCATATCAAATAAACTTTTAGTCACGTGATTAAGCTTGACCGGCACAGCTTTGCCCTCTTTTACATATTTTCTTTTAATCAAAATATTTTAGGAAACAAAAGTAAAGTATAAATATAAAAATAATCATTTTCATCAACAAAACTCACCTTCTTAACAGCACTTAAGGGACATAAAGGGCCATTACTACCGCTTTCCCGTTCAAAATATTCTAATAAAGTTGCGATGAGTTTTTTACGGCTATTAAGCTATTTTGTACCACTTCGCACTAAAAGAGTTTCTAAGAACAGTGTTTGACTGCAAGGCCTGCTAGTAAACATTTTTAAGCTTAAAGTATCACAACACTATTTAGTCGTAATACAAAACTAAAGTGTTAAACCGAATGACAATGTCAGGAAATAAATAAATAACTGTGGCAACTTGACATTTTTTACAGCAGAGCTACCATCTGAATCCCCAGCGCGAAATTTAAATTCCAGTTAGTCAGCCCGGCGCCGAATATATCCATGGTTGGCAACAATGAGTTTAAAAATCGCGCCATCGATTACGAAACTAAAGTTTTATTGATATCAAATGTAGATAAATTCGAATGATGTTACTACAGTACGTCTGCTGGATCTGTGTCTATGAAAGGAATGCGGACAAAAAACATTTAAATATACGGCAATATATTTTATACGTCGACTTGGCGAGTACGTCACCGCAAATCGCTCCGCCCACTCATTTTATTGGCTACTTGCAAATTTGTCGAATTTTTATTGATGGGACGCGTCGTCTAATTTTTTACGAAAAACATCGAGAGAACGTTTCCCCTCTCCCGGATACCCCGTAGCTACAGAACGAACAGACGTACTGTAAAATATATGGAACCTAAGTATGTTGTAAGTCATCTAAGTAAAATGGTAGCTTTCTTGACGAATATAACTAATTAAAATGTTCAAGCTTAAGCTGTAATAGCGATGTTAAAAGAGACATAGCGTTTAGCAGAAACAATGATTTTATGGAACACTTTTGGAAATAAATGATATAGTAATAGAAAATTACAGTGATAAACACTCCGAAATAATAACTATAATGAGTGTTATTATTCTGGCTTAAATAATTAATTAAGGTATTCGAGCGTAAGCGGTTATGACGATGTTAAGACAGATGGCGGCTATCAAAAACAATGATTTTCTAGAACAGTTGCCGAATAGTTTTGGAAATAAATCCACTTTGTTGCAGTTCCAGAGGCCCGCATTCCCTTTACGGCTCGGAACATGTCCTCGACATCGGTGTTCATCAGTTGGGAACCTCCAGACATCGATTTGGTTAACGGCGATTTCCTTGGTTATCGCTTAACTTGGATGCAACTCAACAATCCTAAAATTACTCAAGAGAAGTATATCCGAAATGCCAGCGTTACAGTAAGTAATATCTTCCCCCTTTTATAAGCGATACATTTTATTGTTTTCTTTAATGTACAGGGTGGTCCGAATTGTCTTCGGGAAACTTTGACTGCATATTCTTGCTGATAAAAATAAGTAAAAAAGATCGTATATATTTTTGTTGTAGAATGGCTTTTGTTTCTGAGATACAGGGTGTAGAAATTTCATTTTTATTTCGATTTTTAATAATTTCTAAACTAACGTCGATATTCGCATGAAAATTGGTGTCTAGGAGTTTTTTGACATAAGAAACTTGATTTAGAAGTCAATAGGACTCCTACTTATAGGGAGCGACCGACATATTTTTTAACAAGTTTAAAGAGCAATAACTTTTTGTCCGTACCTGTATAAAAACTTCTGAGTAAAAACTATACATTTCCGCCATTTTTTACTTAAAAAATCTCTTTGTAAAAATCGCTACGAGTGATGGTTCTCGAGATATTAGGTCAATAGGGCTCCTACTTATAGGGAGCGACCTACATATTTTTTAACTAGTTTAAAGAGCAATAACTTTTTGTCCGTACCTGTATAAAACTTCTGAGTAAAAACTATACATTTCCGCCATTTTTTACTTAAAAAAATCTTTTTGTAAAAATCGCTACGAGTGATGGTTCTCGAGATATTAGGTCAATAGGGCTCCTACTTATAGGGAGCGACCTACATATTTTTTAACTAGTTTAAAGAGCAATAACTTTTTTTCCGTACCTGTATAAAACTTCTGAGTAAAAACTATACATTTCCGCCATTTTTTACTTAAAAAAATCTCTTTGTAAAAATCGCTACGAGTGATGGTTCTCGAGATATTAGGTCAATAGGGCTCCTACTTATAGGGAGCGACCTACATATTTTTTAACTAGTTTAAAGAGCAATAACTTTTTGTCCGTACCTGTATAAAACTTCTGAGTAAAAACTATACATTTACGCCATTTTTTACTTAAAAATATCTCTTTGTAAAAATCGCTACGAGTGATGGTTCTCGAGATATTAGGAATCGAAGTAATCAAAACATGTCATCAGCGACAAGAATTTTGAACATGTTGACCATATTGATATTATCATAAATTTCAAATGTTTTTGTGCTAAAGTTTCACCCTGTTTCATCACAATTTTTTCTAGAAATGAATTTAAAGTTAATGAATTAAAATTGAAAAATAATAAATATAATAAAAAATTTAAAATTAAATTAGAAGTTCTCAGTATTGATAATTTACATTCCAAATATCTTGAAAACGGTTAGTCGTAGCAGTTTTTACCAAGAGACCATTTTGACGTAAAAATGGTGGGAAATTTATATTTTTTTGCTCAGTTCTGTACAGGGACAGTCGAAAAGTTATTATTCTTCAAACCAGTTAAAAAATCTGTAGACGGCCGCGGCGCCCCCTACAAATAAGAGTCATATTGACATTGAGATCAAATTTCTTATGTCAAAAAAACACCCAGAAACCAATTTTCATTAAAATATGGACAGTACTTCAGATATTATTTGGAAAAAATCGAAATAAAATGAAATTTCTACAACCTGTATCTCCGAAACGAGGCATTTTAGGACATATGAACGAACTTTTTTACTTATTTTTCTCGGTAGAATATGTTTCTTAAGTTTCCCGAATACAATTCGAGCCACCCTGTATAACTTTTATGTTATGCCCATAATTTTTGTGTAATTTGACTTAAAACGAAGTGAAATTTAACATATTGATTGAAAAAAAAAATATATATTTCATAATTTTTTCAGTGTACACTGCCAGTAGTATAAAAAATTGTGTATGCACTATGTGTGCATATTTGAAGAGAAACTTCTTACTAACAGCTATTAACTTGAAGGATTTGAATGACATTTGAAAAAGTGTAGTTTGAAATATTGAAAAAGTAATAATTTTAAAATTAATAAATTCTAAGAATATATTCTAAGCCATCGGCTGGTCCTTACCACTTTTTAATAATAATGCGCCTTTATTTCCAAAAAAGTAAGATAAAATTCATTTAATTATTAATACATTAAAATAGTAGGAAATCATAGAAATTAAATAATTACACCATGAGAATATGTACAGGGTGAATCAACGATAGAGTAAAGCCCATTATCTCATTTGTTTCGAGGTTTAGAAAAAAATATTAAATATAAAAGTTATAGGGACGGTTAAGATACACACTTTAAAATTATTATAGAGTATACAGGATACGAGAATGTTATAGAGACATAGAAAAAATCTATGTAAAGATATTTTAGTTAGATGCTAAAGGGTCTTCATTTACGATTTCGACTACTTAAAATTAAGAAATTTCAAATTTTTTAAATGGTACACCCTATATATTATCATTTTTTCTGATAGATTTTACAAAACTCTTCAACTTTTATTAAGTATGTCATATACCTATTTTTAATAGTTTGCGATTTATTCCAATTTTTTCTATTTTTACCCATATTTTTAATATAGTTACGCTATAATATCATAGATGCCATAAAAAAAATAATGATTATCATAATTTCATGTCTGTTAAGTTAAGTTAAGAACAAAATTTGAATTTTGTCGTATGGTGGTAATGGTAATGATAATATAGTTACATATTTTCCTGAAATGAATTAGTCAATGTGACCGTATGAAATGAATTAGTCAATGTGGCTGATATACACGAACAAGCCAAGAAAACCATATTTTTTGGTTCAGTACTATATATTATATAGTACTTTGCTAAGTATTATAAGAATAGATATATCTTCAGTGTGTAATGAGATGGTTTGGCGGCAGTAGTAATATGGGCTTTACGAAATGAATTATAATCAGTCAAACATTATAGTCAGTCACTATATCAATAGTCTTAAACAATTAAGTAATTTAGTATTACCCTAATCTGTCGCTACTCGCCCCGACGGAAAATCCCCCCCAAGTGTCTTTTTTCATAATATAGAAATACACCAAGTAATTCACCACTGCGATTTTAGTTTATTTGAGTAAAGTTAATTAATTAAAACTAATAGTAACAATTGTAACTAATTATGAAGCTACTTGTTAAAGATAAGTAATAAATAGTTTGTTTTGTCATGGTAACTATGATTTTATAGCGTAATTGTATTAAAGATAATGGTAAAAATAGAAAAAATTGGAATAAATCGGAAACTATTAAAAATAGGTATATGACATACTTAATGAAAGTTGAAGAGTTTTGTAAAATCTATCAGAAAAAATAACATATAGGGTGTCCTATTTAAAAAAATTGAGATTTTTTAATTTTAAGTAGTTGAAATTCATAAATATATTTTGAAAACCCTGTAGCATCTAACTAATATATCTTTACATAGGTCTTTTTCTATATCTATATGAAATTCTTCTACCAAATTTTAGTTGCTCAACTTCAGAAACAACGGCATCACTGACAATTTTTTATCACACTGCAATCTAACATTTGTTTAAACAAATTTAAATATTACAAAAATTATTAATTTTAGGTATATAATATTATATAAAAAAGTTATGGAATTTTACGCAGAATCTAAAAATAAAATAAAAAATAGGGTGTTGCATTTAAAAAAAACATGTTATATTTGCCACACTTTTTTGAAGCACCCTGCATACTCTATAATAATTTTAAAATGTGTATCTTAACCTTCCCTATAACTTTTACATTTAAAACTTTTTTGTAAACCTCGAAACAAATGAGATAATGGACTTTACTCTATCGTTGACTAAACCTGTACATATAAATATTCAAAACCCAATTTTGGAGTGGAGCGAAATTCAGAAGCATAATGCTTCTGCTCTTCCATTCAACTCTTTTTGTCTCGCGCTAGCTTGTGTGTCACAAATACATATAATTTCGCTACAAATTGCTTTAAAAATCATCAAAATCGGACCACTACAACATGATATATAAAACTTTAAAATATATCAATATTTTAAAGTGCCCGTTTTTCGTGCCGGTGATTGTATTTATGAGAATGTCATTTAAAGTCAAATGAATAGCAAATTACAAAACTATGGTTTCATGTCTTTTAATTGAACATATATTGTGTTGAAACTTTGCTTTGTCTATTATAAAGCTCTCGAATTCACTTGAACACAAGCTTTCTGGTGACCAACTAGTTAACTATTTAATTCTCTAGCTACATTCGCTTCAATTTGCTCTTTTCCTTACTAACCAGACATATTCCGTGCGTATATCTAGTTTAAATTAATTAAAAAACAATTCCGACAACTTTCACTTGGGTTAATTTATATTAATAATGCGACTTTTAATCAAGTCTACTTTGTTATTTGATAAATTATGAGTCGTCCCTAAATTTAGCGTATATTGGAGTTTGACTTGAAACTTTGTAAGTATATAACCCATTTTCACCCGAATATGAATTTTGATGCAAACTTTGTTACCAACATCTAAAGCAGAAGTTTCAGTCATTGATATAGACAGGAGCTTTACTAATACTAATGAACATCTTCACCTTTATAATATTGCATACATGAACGGAGGAGAGCTAAGATAATATAAGAAAATAACTAAACTGTCTTATTGTGAATATCTTTTGATACGAAGTGGTTTAAATAACTGGAGATATGACTTCCTATTCATTTACAATCTTTATAATGATTTTTGTTACATTATCCATAACTTAAACTATAATACTAAAAAATAAAGATATGTAATTTGACAAAATACATGAGAGAGTTTAAGCGATTACATAGACCCCAAGTTGTTATAGCTAGAAAAACCGTATACGATAGGACACCGAACTTTTTTGCTAGAGAATTTTGCCCTTTTTATAAAATAAAATCGTTTTGAAAATGCTTCCTGAATAATAAATGGTCAATTTAGAGTCCATAGTTTGCTCTTAACAAGCGTTTCCAAGACGTTTTAGTAGAATTAGTCCCCTGGCGTTGACCCCACGTATGCTTAAATGGCTCTTAGGGAACAAAACTATGCTATCAATTTGCTATGAATAAGAAAGCTCGACCCTCTATTAGATATCGTACTTAGTATAATTT